AGTGCTTGGTCTAAAATACTACGCCAATTGTTAAATAATTCATATGAGGAAAAGTGACTAAATTTACAAAATCCTGTGTTTTCCAGAGATGCCTTGCTGTAAAGGTGGGGTGAGCACCAGAAAAAAAGTAGGTAAATGTCAAATTTAATGTCTTTGATTCCCACAAATGTGTTCTATAGTCTTACTAATACTGGTCTGAATCACATTCTCCAGTGACAGATGCTTATGATAAGTGTCGTATCTAACAGCACTAACAAGTCCACTCTACACTGGGTTCTCCCTGATCTGGAATCATTTTAGTGAAAATTCAAGGACATGGTATTTTGGCACAACAGCATTTTCCAGGCAGTCATGAATCAGTGTGTACAACTTGAATCCAGGACCCAAGCTTATCCACCCACAATGTGATACTCTCCCAATAACTGTTGAATCCTAGCAGCATCTGGACTAAGATGCTTCCTTCTATGGTATGGGGATGGGGAAGAAATGGAAGAAGAAATAATAAATGTGCAGTTCACTTCATCCCCTCCCATCTGTATTTGGAGAAAACTATATTAAAATGACACTAAGCCCTGCGTATGTAATTATGTATAATTATAATTGTGTAACTATGCATAATTATCTTCTGTCACACAAGAAAGTAGAAGTTCCTTTTAAAATTTTAAACGTGGATTATTAATAATTCTGAAATAATATTTTCCCCATTACCCATTACCTTGACACCTTCACATTTTAGTTAGTAATTTTCTCTTAGGACAATCTTATGTTAAGGGAAATGTTTATAAAACTTTTTTTTTAATTAAATCATAGCTGTCTGTGTACATTAATGGAGTCATGGGGTACAATGTGCTGGTTTTATATACAATTTGAAACATTTTCATCAAACTGGTTAACATAGACCTCATGGCATTTTCTTGGTTATTGCGTTAAGACATATATAGTCTACATTTAGTAAGTTTCACATGTACCCTTGTAAGGTGTTCAGAAACCATGTCTTTTTAAAAAATGAGCTGATTTTTCTCCCAAGTCAATCTAAAGGAAAGGAAAAGAAGGCAACTAAGAGAAAAAAGAAAGGCTTGTTCAATTTTAACATCTGCCTTGGCTGAGAAAAGATTAGAAATATGAACTGTAGACATCTCCTTTCAATGCTCCTCCAATAGACCACAAAAGGTAAAATTCACAAATAGAGAAGGTGTAACTTGGAGCCAAGACAGAGCCAAATTCTGAACAATGCTTCACCGAGTATGAAATCTATTTTGCACAGTTTTTTGGTCATTACAATCAACAATGTAAAGTTTATAGCTTTGTTCCTTGTCCTCCAAATAAAATCATTCTAACATTGCGAATCCGCCTCCCATCACCATGAGGGGAATGTGCGCCATTCCTGGAAATTGCAGTAAGAAGAGTATGACCCCAGACTGGTCCATTTTGAAGCTAGAGAGTGAGTAACTAAGAGATCTTAGAAGATTAAACAGTTTTGTTTTAAAATCAGGTAGGTTTTTTGTGTGTGTTAAAACTAACCATATAAGCCATTTAACGCTTTGAGATTTTAGGATTATTTTATCAGAAAAAATCTGCTCCATGAGGATGCTATGCTGAGAAGGAAGGTCAGGCCCATCTGTTATCTCAAAGGGTTAGGGTTTATTATCTGTTAATAAACTGTTCTTCTTGCCTTGTTGAAGCAACAGCCCTTCTTCTTTGGAAAACTTTAAAAGCTGCCTATAATTTCCATTATGTGTGCCTTTCAAATGGGAGGAAGGGAGGTGCCCCAGGCTGAGTGCGCCTCAGTTCCAGTGCTATGCTAGTGCTGGCCAGTAGGTGCCCTCACAGGGCCCTCTAATAGCCTCAAAATAGAAAAGTTGCTGCCCAATTTAACAGGTGATGGCCAAACAAGTTAAAAACGACTGACATGCCTGCCCCGGCCTTGGAAATAGAAAAGCCGAAATTAAATTCTAGGCATAATGGACTCATAAAAACACGTCATTTAATGCTTTCTGGACTTTGTCTACTTGGGAGAGACGAAATGAGAAATAGAGATTTTCATCTTACGAATTGAACTTTTCTTCAAGGAGATCCAAAAGACTATCCGCACCTCAAATTGTCTTTAACGTTCAGTAAGGAGTTTAACAGGCAGGACTGCTCCTCCTTGGAAAGTACAGAGAGAATTCTGCACCCGACTGCTGACAGCATCTAAGGTTTTGAAGCCCAACGCTGGCTCCGCCAGCAGCCAGGCTGTCAGTGTTTCTGCAAGATGGTCCCTAGGTGGCGCAAAGAGCACGCGATTCTGTTGGCCCAGGCTTGTCTATTTCTGGCTGGCTGATTATTCAAAAGTGAAAATATCTGCTTGTCTACATTGCTGGATCATTCCCAGCATTAGAAATCATTACTAAACAGCCTTTCCAACTTCTCAACTCTGATGCAAGACTATGGCCTGGGAGAAGTGGCAGGGGATGGACTAAAATTGCAAACGAGAAAGAAGGACAGAAAAATAAGGGAAACCAACATTCTGGATTATTCTGTTCTATGTCTGCGTTTTCTAAAATAACTTTTCAAATCGTCGGGCAAGGTCTTAAAAATCACATCAAATTAACTTTCATTTAAAGGAAAAAAGAAACCTGCATCGTTCTAAAGTACTCAGGAAACAGAATATTCGCCAAACACAGAAAATTAAGATTTGAGATACACCCAAGACCAAATTGTGCAGAGATTCAACAATACTGTTAAGACAGATAGAGAGATAGAGCTGCATTACAAAAGTTACTCAGATGTTGGCTCACTGAATACCTTGGTGATTTCAAGGAAAACAGCCTGAATATTAAAAAAGGTACAAAATGAGTCCCATTTACCTTCCCCGGACTGCATCTCGGGCAAAGAAAGGGGCTCTGACAACAGGGTGTCCAGGTGTGCCAAGAGTCTGGACACCTAAGAGCCGGAAACTCATTTGTCTCACCAGTCATGACACTTTTTGCTAAATTTTTAAAAACATTGAGTTCACTAAAAGATCAAATAAAATGTCAAGGTCAAAATATCAGATATGATGGTATAAAAGTGATGTTAGATTACCTCTGTAATGCAAATGTCAAGCTGAATGCAATTTTTTTTTTTTTTTGAGACAGAGTTTCTCTATGTCGCCCCTGGTAGAGTGCAGTGGCATCACAGCTCACAGCAACCTCAAACCCTTGGGCTTAAGTGATTCTCTTGCCTCAGCCTCCCAAGTAGCTGGGACTACAGGCACTGACCACAATGCCTGGCTAGTTTTTTGTTGCAGTTGTCATTGTTGTTTAGCTGGCCCAGGCCAGGTTTGAATCTGCCAGCCTCGGTGTATGTGGCTGGCACCATAACCACTGTGCTACGGGTGCTGAGCCTGAACACAATTTTCAACATGTATTCTTATTGAAAATGTCATATTAAGACTAACATTATAAAAAGTAACTTGTCAGTTGGGCCGGGAGCAGTGGCTCACGCCTGTAATCCTACCACTCTGGGAGGCCGAGGTGGGTGGATTGCCTGACCTCAGTTGAGCCAGAGGAGACTCTGTCTCTAAAAGATAGCTGGACCTTGTGGCAAGTACCTATGTTCCCAGCTACTCAGGAGGCTAAGACAAGAGGATCACTTAAGCCCAAGAACTGGAGGTTGCTATGAGCTATGATGCCAGGGCACTCTACCAAGGGCAACAAAATGAGACTTTGTCTCAAAAAAATAATAATAATAACTTATCAGAGTTATTCTTTAGTTTAAAAACCGTGATTAGAGAAGGTTAAAAAATGGTCAGCCTAATCCACCGCTAGTTAAAGTGGAAATTATTCAATGTTCGTGGAAAAAGCAGTCTGGCAATATTGAAAGCTTTGAAAATATGTAAAAATTACAGTTCCACAAATTTGTCCTAATAATGTGATCATGGATATGCATACATATTGGGCTGCAAAGATGTTAATTACAGACTTATTGGTAATTTGAAAACATTGAATTGTTCAGTAAAAGGGCTTAGTTACATAAACTGTATGTAAATAATGAAAAACTTCTTAGCAATAAAACACAATACATGTTAACTGATAGGAAAATATTTTCAAAGAAAATTCCCAAGGAAGATAAGGCTTCCCAAATAGCACATAAAGCACGATATCATCTTTTGTCAAACTATGTATCTATATTAGTATCTGTTTAGTACATAGATAGATATGTACATAGTATATGTGTATGTATGTGTATTACTGTGTCTGTGTGTGTGTAGAAATATTTCACACACAAGAAATATTTCGAATTATAAAATCGTGCCCAGTGCTCTCTAATCAACCAAGCCAAAATTTCATTCATGTTGTTTATAACGGAGGGTAAAATGGAAAGTCCATCTTACACCTGCAGAATTTAATTTAGCTGAAGGTCAATCAGAAACTTGATGGTGATAAAGGCAAGCTTAGAATACAACTAGAAACAAAAACAAAAGACTGTATTCAGGAGAAGCTGTGCTCTGATTCACAAACTAAAACAAAAAGCTTAACAATCTCTCGGAGACAACCTATTAGCATTCATGGCAAGATAAAACTTCTAGGAAAACAGAAATTTCTTAAATCTCATTGTGATTAAACTTCAGAAGACGTTTCACTTGACTCTGATATGAAAGTGATGGAAACAATCCAATCACCGACCCAACAATAAGAGCCAACAGTTGCCATCCGTTTCATTCAAACAGAACCTTAAGCATCTTGTGAAGTAGATTTAGTGAAGTCTACGCGCATTCCGGGCTAACTACTCTTGGTTACACTTAATCAGAACTGAATAAACAAACTCAGTATTAGTCACACTTGGGCAAGTTATTCCATTTCACTGCGGCCGTAAGAGATTTTCATGTGATCCTGTTTAAACTAGCAAACATCTGGAAATGTGGAAACTATTCTGTAAAGCACAAGAGGACCACACGCTCAGAGGAGACATCATTCATGTGGCTGAGGTCAGACTGGGGAGCTTGGAAGGGGAGAGCTTACTGGGGACGGCTTACTTACAATGAAGCCAAGCTTCTTATAATCCCGAGTGTACATGGACTTGCGTTTCTCTATGCTGCCACTGCTGTTATTAGGTTCAGACTCTGCATCGAAAGCAATTCTTCGAAGTTCAAATATGATGTCCCTCTGAGCCTGCAGGAGTTAGGGAGAAAAAAAAAAGGGGACAAGAAAAGGCTGCTTTAATTGTGTGATGTTACATACACTCCCTCCTTCCCCAGGGTCTAAATGAATCACTGCATTCAGGCAAAAGAAAAACAGATAAAAGAGAACCAATGTTCTAAGTTAGGGCTTTGCAGACTGCTCTTCCTTCTGCCACTCTCCCTGCTGGTCAGCCCTGGCTGTGTTCCACCATGGTCCTCTCAACCCCGTGTAGTCCTAACGGAGAGGCCCACATGTGATGGGAGGGTCCTCACTGGTGAGGGCCAGGCTAGAGGACTGGGAGTAGGGGACTCCTAGGAACCAAGGGAGAGCCATGCAAAGTCCATGAAGAAATAATCTTCTGGAAACAAACGCTGGATAAAAATAAAAGGAAGGGCCAAAGGTGGAAAGGACACAAGGATCCATCCAGAGGAGGGTGAAAAAACAAACTGTATACACACAGACAGTGGGGTACTACTCAGCCTTAAAAAGGGAGGAAATCTTGATAGATGCTACAACTGGGTGAACCTCGAAGATACTATTCTGAGTGAAATAAGCCAGATACAAAAAGATAAATACTGTCTGATCCCACTTCTGTGCAGCAGCCAGGGCGGTCAAATTCACAGACAGAAAGCAGAATGGTGGTTTCCAGGGCCAGGGGGAGAGGGAAGTGGGGGGTTAGTGTTAGAATTTCGGTTTTGCAAGATGAAGAGAGCTCTGGAGATGGATTATGGGGACGGTTTCGCAACAACGTGAATGTACTTAATGTTACCGCTTAAAAATGGTGATAATAATAAATGTTGTGTATCTTTTACCACAATAAAAAAATTAGTAAGTAAAAGGAAGGGCTTCCAAACAAGGAGGGTTCCTTCCGTATGAAGACTCGTCTCCTTCCCTACAAGTGGTTAAGGTGACTGTCTCATGTCTCCGGGATGACTACACTGGCCTTGCCAAAAACATGGGACACACTCGCTGGTCCTCTCAAAGCCTCTTCATCATCTCCTTAATCACACGGCCTCGCGCCATGGGGGACATCCTGCGGCAGCTACACACGGCACATCCGCGGTTCACATCTGCAACAGATCAGGCCCTCACGTGCCAATAATGAGTGTTTTCCTTTCCAAAGCTGCAGCGCTGTTTAAGTTGAAAATGTGCTACGGCAGGGCTCCCAGCTGTTTCCTCTCCCTCTCCAGTAAAGTTCTCCAAAAGCCTTTCAAAAAGAGACATAACCTTTCATGCACAACAACCAGAGACCTAGCAGGGAGTTACAGCGGAGATCGAAAAGACAAAAACACCAGCCCAGAAAGGAGGGTCAGCCTAGGACCCCACGCTTGGCAATGATTTCCAGAAATTGGAAATGACTTCCTCAACCCATGGAGTCAATGCTACAAGTAGCCCTAATTGAGAACTTGACCCTGCAGCTATCACCACTGAAGGTACTGGGACCACGCCAAGTGATGTCAAGATTTCTTCTTATTCAATAAAGGGAGAACATGCATGTGTTTGGGGCCTCTCGGGGAAGAATCAGTTTATTCTATTTTATGATCCTAGATTCACCTAAATTTTCAAGTCATGTCCCAAGTTCTGAGATCATAATAAATCAATATCTAAAAACTTCTAGCTTCAGGCTAAGTCAAGAAAAGACTTTTAAGGATACTTTCTCCCCCTCATGTGGTCTGACTGCCACCCAGTAGCACTCACCTGGTCCTGGGGGTCCATCTTGGTCATCATCCTGTCCTCCAGGAGGTTAAAGGTGAGCACTTGCAGGACATACAGCTGGTGCGCCATCTCATTGTTGATGGCCCGCTGGGCTCGGATGACATGCTAGGATAATGGTTCACAAACAAAATTTTAAGAAGGAAAGAAAGAGGAGAGAGAGAGAGAAAAGCGAACTACATTTACCCCCGACAAAGAACCTCACAGGCTTCATTTGGAGGCACGAGGGAAGGAGACCAGTGGGCCCACCATTCTGAAGAAAGGTGAGGGCACAGGTGGTCCCAGAGCTTTCCTTTACATTCCAGGGCCTAGTAAGCTTCCTGACCTTTAGGCCAGATCCCAGGAAAAGACCTCCTCCATGCAGGAGGGAATGAAATGGGAAAGTGGCTGCAGCCATGTAAATCAAGAGAAGGTACGTCTACGACAAGGGCATCGGCAGGACAACTGCTAATGTCTACAACAGACGCATTCCTCCCATGCAGTGGAAGAAGCTATGGTGCATTCGTGTGGGAAGCAATCTCGCCATCATTGTACTCTAGGACTGTCTCTGACAAGTGAGCCCACTTCCAAATAGGGAAAAGTTGTAGAAACAGTACACACAGACACACACACAGACAAATCCCCATCAAATCTGCAGTCAATACACCGTAAGAGCTGTACAAGGACACCCTCCATCACGCTGCAGCGAGCAAATGCTTGTGCTTTCCTCTGCTCACCTGTTAACAATTAAGTGGAAAAGAAAATGACTCTCCCATAGAAACAGAACTGAAAACAGAATATAAAAGGAGCTGCAGGAACACTGGCTACATGGGCCTTTGCCTCTCACCCAGAGCTGGGTTTTAGACAGAAATGGGACAGCTGCCACCAATTCAACCCTCGGGCCTCACACACAGCCTCCTCTGCAGAGATGCTGGCTGTACATTAGAATGCCAGACAACCAGGCAGTGTAGTGAAACAACCCTTCAAATCAGTTATTTCCAATGGTCTAGACTGAGCCACGTCTTGCTGTCTGAGAGACCATTTCTCTCGGTGCTCCACTGTAGCTCCTGGGTAAACTGCCACAAACTGACTTCCTTCTAAGGGACTGTTCAGTGAATGCCCAAGCTGTCCAGTATGGAAACACAATTATCTTACAGCCAGGACTAGAGAAAGTGTAGGTCCCTAGGGTGTCTCCCAAGTTGGCATGCCTCTGGACCCCACACCCTGGCAATCAGCACTGCGCTGAAACAACCAATGAAAGCCGGGGCAGGAGAATAATGAGGGACAGGAGGAAGAGGACAGGGAAGGCGAAAGGATACAAAGTCTCTGGACCACAACTGTAAGAGGGAGAGAAGTTGGACAATGGGATGGGGGTGATCAACCCGCAGTCCTCAGTCTTCAGAATAGAAGGTCAGCAGTACATTCTGACTCTCCCAAGGCGTGGCTGTCTCTCTCATTAGCAAGCTGAAAGCACCCCAAGTTCTTGCCAGAGAATCCCAATGTCCAACTTTCAGCTGCCAACGTCTCCTGAAAGAAGTCCCACTGAAGAAACTGCTCTTTCAGATTATGTGCTGACGTCATCAGTGCCACGTCTCTGGACATTCTAGCCTGAACTGCCACACGACAGCAGCACGTTTCAAGATGCTGAACTACACTGTAATATTGCAGCTTTACAGTTACTGGGAGCCAGTAAGAAGAATGCCCATACTGTGAATCCTTTGGCACCTCCCACAGAACCATAATGGACCCAGAATCTATCAGAAGGCTCTCCCAGGGCCCATTTCAGAGTTTTCAGATTTCAGTTCCAAAGGGAGAAAAGTTTGTCATCCCAAAGATCTGAGGAACCTCGTGTTGTCAAACAATAAAAATTATACTCATATGTTTCTCATCATCCTCCACAGCCAGGAAGTTTAAAATCAGACATTATCACAAATTGCAGTCATTACCATTGGCCTTGGGTTCTAGAACACTGATTTCCTTTGCTCTCAGAATGTTTTCAGTTTTTGACAGTTTTCTTACATTGGAGTGTGTGTGCATGTGCGTGTATGTGAGTGTGTCTGTGATTGTCTATATTAACCACATGCTTCTGGCGTTTTAACCTTAGGACGCTGTTGCCTCTGGAAAGAATGACTGTCCCAGGCCTAGCCAATTGCTACACATAATAAGTGACTCCTTTCCTATGTAAACCAAACCAGTCCTGAGCCCCCACACCCAATCCTCACTATTCTCCTGCCTTAACCAGCCTAGGCCAGGTACTAGACAACCAGAGCAGCCCCCTGAAATTGTTCATACCAGCCAATCCTAGGCTGCTTAGCCAGCCTCCTGGGCCTCACCCCTTCCTCTTCCGAAAACCACAACAGACGCTCTTACCCAATTTCATCTGGTGCACTTTGGCCCCTGACCACACTCATCTCGTTTTTTCCTTTTGGGAACTATAAGTAACAAACTTTTATTTCAGTGGCACCAATCTTCTGATCTGTTGGCCTCCCCATACCTAAGTAATCATAAAACCTACATTTTAAAACAGTGTGTGTTGGTGGCACCCGTGGCTCAGTGGGTAGGGTGCCAGCCACATACATCGAGGCAGGTGGGTTCAAACCCAGCCCAGGCCTGCTAAACAACAATGACAACTGTAGCAAGAACAACAACAAATAGCCGGGTGTTGTGAAGGGCACCTATAGTCCCAGCTGGCTGAGAGGCTGAGGCAAGAGAATCACTTAAGCCCAAGAGTTTTAGTTGGGAGGCTGAGGCAAGAGAATCACGTAAGCCCAAGAGTTTGGTTTGAGCTTTCTGTAAGCTGTGATGCCACAGCACTCTATCGAGGGCAATATAGTGAGACTCTGTCTAAATAAATAAATAAATAAATAAATAAATAAAACAGTGTATGTTTACATGTTAAGCTTCTGAACTTCTCTTTGGAATCACCACAAACAGAAATGTTTCCTTCCTTCCCTCCCCTCTCCTTTCTTTCTTAGGCAGGGAGACAATCAAACTCGCTTCTTTCAAGTAGCCGGTCAGGCTGCCTCAGGAAATCTTGCTCTTTGGCTTATATCTAAACTTTCTAAACATTTAAAGCCTCCTTTCTACAGAAGTTTACGGTCATTTTTGCACTGCGGTGAATGAGTGGTTCCTACCTGTATCCTTCCTCCCTCCCTCCTGCAGGGGAACCCAAGAAAATCATGGTCAAACATCTCAGGCCTTCTCCGGATCCCTGGGGTTTCCGGCCAGTGTTCTCACTAAGACAGTAAAAGCTCCTGGAGGTGGACTTTTTAAGCACTGGTTTCTTTCACCTGCCCCAAGTGGGAGAGAAAGAAGAGAACAGATGCCCCTTCCCTTTCTGTCTCAAAAGTTTCAGGGACCCCACCCTGCAGTCATAAGATACTTCTCTCTGGGAAAGCCTCCTTCTTTCAACTCCCAAAGCACACTGTTTACTTCTTTATAGTCCCTTGTGCTTCGCCGCAGAAGCAAGTCGCAGAGTGAACCACAGACTGAAGCCAACGCAGAGAGAGGCAAACCTACCCGGCCATTCCTTCCCACCAGCACATGGCTACTCACCGTTAAAATGATGGAACGCAGTTGCTTCTGAGCCAAAATATTCGCCATCTCCTGTCGAACAAAAACACACCCACACAAAGGCTTAGGTTAGAAAGATACATCTCAAGGAGGCTGAAGTGACTGTCTCCTGTGTTGAGTTTCCTGACTGTGTATCTGCAGTATTTCTGAAGCAACAGTGAACTCAAACAGGCAGAGGAAAGAACTCGGGCACCTGCAAACTTCTTCTTTTCCTTTCTTTTTTTTAAAGTTATTTCCTCCTTCTGGAACTGAATAAAAATCAAGCACTCCAGACAAAAGCAACGGTTCTCCATTAGAAAGACGTTATTATTATTAGAAGATACGTGTGCAGAAAGCTTTAATTAGGCAACAGCTGTCTGCAGCAAGGAGCTGTAATATTAGACAACCATCGCTTTAAAGATCTAAGTTTTATGAAAACCATTTCATCTTAATCTCTATAAAAGCAGAGAGTGAGCAGCCGGTACTCTAGGACTTGAAAGTGGGCCATGCAAGTCATCAGAGAGGAGTTTTAACAAAGAGCATCTCTCCAGGCTGATCCAAATCTCTATAGTCCACACCCAGCTTAGCTCTGCTGGGCCTCATTTCTGCAAGTTGTGCTTTGGCCTCTCCCGACTGGCACAGAGGATCAGCACTAAGTTTACTACATGGAATGACTCATAGGCTCCCTTTCTAAATATTGACAAGTAGTCAATTTTACTGGAAATTAAATAGTCAAGCACAGTCTTAGTGCATGTAATCAAAAGCAAAAATACTGCTCTGCTCACATTCAGGAAGACACTTGAATATTGCTTTTTTTTCGGGGGGGGGGGTGTTCTTCATGTTTCTACTCTTCCTGAGTAGAGAAGAAACCAAGCTACAGTTAAAAAGCACAACGCTGAATTCTACCCAGGTTAGAATAAACTAGCTGACAGCAGAGAGAGCCAAGAACACAGGGGAGGCGCTAAGAGGGGCACGTAAGCAGGGGCCAGACAGGTGTGGCTCGGGACAGCAGGGCCCACTGAGTGCTGACAAGGGGACGAGAGTGACCTACAGTCAGAGGACAACCAAGGATGTCAACATTGCATCTAATCCACCTGACAGCATCACTGCCACCACAGAAAGGAGAGCGAGCAGGAGAGAAGAAGAGATGGACATGTCCAGGCCTCTGTTAGAGGCCGGCAGCTGTATTTCCACACCCTGCCGCCCCACTGCACTGAAAAGTGCCTAACTGCTGGAACATGCATGATTCAGAATGGCTGGATGGCACTAAAATCGAAATGCAATACCGGGTCCTCCTCCTTGATCTCAAAAAATAAGAAAGTGTGGGTAAAGATACATTCAGAAACAAGTTAATCGGTAACCTGGAAGGAACCAAGGGGAGATAGAAAGCTGTGCTTTCTTTCTGACCTAAATAGCAAGGCCCTTTGGTCATTTTTGTTGTTGTTGTTGTTTTCCTTGAATCAGATGACAAAAGGCCCAAGGGATCCTGCAGTTCTCTTTGTTTCTTTTCTTTTATAAAATGAAATGACTGCCCAATAGACACGAAAATAAGAAAAAGAAAAAAGAATTCCTCCTTGACCATTTTAGCCTATCAATTCACAAAATTTTAAACTAAGTTAGAAGGGACAATATATTTCCAACTTCCACTAGAGCAATTATTTTAATTATCTGTTTACAGTATTATCTTTTGCACAAGGCTGCTCACGGGCACAGACACTGTCTTAGTCTTCTTTGTATTCCAAGCCCAAAGCACAATGTCTGGCACAGAGCAGACAATAAATGTTTGATAAAAGAACAAATGAATATTTAATACTACCCTTCTAAGGAACAGGTGCTCAGTCAGAAAGAAAATGGAAATATCTTTGCGTACATTATGGGTTTGTTTTTTTTTTTGTCTAATATTAGAGAACTGTCTGAGTAAATGCAAGACTCCCAGGGGAATAATTTGTAGCATTAAAATGATAGAGACGTATAGATAGATATAAACATAGATATAGATACACTGACATGAAAAGATGTCCAAAAATATTGTTTAGTTTTAAAAGCAGGTTTAAAAATAACAGTGCACGTAGTAGACTCACATTTAGTGAAATAATAATATAGGTAGGAGAATATTTGCATAGAACAAAAGGGGACATAGCACCATTCAAGTCACAAGAATTGTAAGTAACTGCGATGGTTCTTTGGGAATTCAATTACAGGAATCTTTCAAACTTCTTCCTTTAGAATCTGTATTTTCTGATTTCCTACTACATCTTTTAACTAATAAGCTTTTTAATAATATTTATCAAAACCATCAGTATTTGTAGAGAAACTCAGAAGGGATCTCACCAACACACTTCCCATTGAAACAGTAAATTGATTAAAGGAAGTAGTTGTAAGGAAAAGGGTGCATCTGCCCATCTAGCAGCCACCCCTTCCCCACGAACGAATGCACCCCTTCTCTCCCTCTGTGCAGGGACAGAATCCCCTAGATCCCAGAGGGATGAGAAGCATGGCCTCCACCTACAAGGGAGCAGTAAGCGTCCCCAGAGAAGGGAGTTCCACCCCAGGCCCTGGTGCAGGGCTCTCTCAGTAAGGCCTACACCACGGACACAGAGGAAAACATCCCACAGGCCCAGCTGTGTGGGTGGTATTTTTCTGTAGTCAAAGCAGAAATAAGCCATTGTTCAAAAGCATTTCAAATTAGTTATACATATTTTGAAAAATATAGAAAATGGAGTCATTATGAATATATTTGACCCCCACATCACAGAGAGATGCTGAAATAAATAGAAGTATGTGACTGAAGTGGAACTTATCCAGTGTCCTAAGGCTTTAAACAAACAAACAAAAAAAGTGTCCCCACAAATCCAATAATAAATGCTTAGGTTGTATTTTAATCTAATCCAAGTGAGAGAACAGGTTCAGCGGTGTCCTTCAGGCTTAAGAAAGTTGTTTACTTGGAAAATGCAAGAGGATTCTGTGGGTGACACCACCTGGACCAGCGTTGGCTGGGACGAAAGCCTCAGGCCAGTGGGGACAGGGAGGATTCTACCTGATTCTGACCAGCTCAGCGACCTGGTCAAGTTCTGTACTGCCTGTGAGTCTCCTTCCTTCATAAAAGAGAACTGATACAGCATTCTCTTAATACAAGAAAAAAGTGAAATAACAGACTATACAACACACGGCAGACTCAATAATACTACCAATAATGTCAGACTTTAGGAAATTATACTATTTGCTAAAAGTCCAGAACTTTTTGGTTTTTATAACATATGCCAATAAAAATGTCACTGTCTAATTTAGACCAGCTAAAACTTTAAGTTACTTATAATATAAAATCCAGACTAAGGTGTATGTGCTCAGCTGTTGATGCAATCTGTATCAACCCGAAGGATGGCAACAATTACCTTAATCTGCTGTATAAGCCTCCACTGACTTTCAGAAAATAATACCAAACAAATTTTTCTTCATTATGAACCTGAAACTGTTTCAGAGCTAACTCTCTTGTAATCACTGAAAATTTTTGTTAAAAATTTAAAAACTAAAAATGCCCCCTTTATGTCAACAAATTAACAGCCTTAAATTCAACAGTTTATAGAGTTATGGTTAATTTTCCATGGGCAGGTAAACACCTCGGAGTTATTTGTATATCAACGATTGAATTAATTGGGCCAGGCACACTGGCTCACACCTGTGATCCCAGCACTCTGGGAGGCTGAGGCAGGTGGCTTGCTTGAGCTCAGGAAATCGAGACCAACCTAAGCAAGAGCAAGATTCCATTTCTAAAAAAAATAGCCAGGCATGTGGGGGGCACCTGTAGTCCCAGCTACTTGGGAGGCTGAAGCAAGAAGATCACTTGAGCTCAAAGAGTTTGAGGTTGCTGTGAGCTATGACACCATAGCACTCTACGAAGGTTAAAAAAATGGGACTCTGTCTCAAACAACAACAACAAAGATTGAATTAATTATATAAGAATTTGTAAATTTCTACTGGATTACACATACTTTCTTTTTCTAAATTGGATTATTTTCTTAAATGGTTCAAGGTAATTAGATTACCCTTTGTGGGTAGCAATTCACAGCCAAAACAGTTTCCTACCAGTCTCATATTGCATAATTTTCAAAAATAGTTTCATTTATAGAGCTCAACAGAATGTTATATTGGTATTCCATTACACTTCCCTTGTTATCAATGCCTGCAGTCAGTACAGAGCGTGCCTGATTCCCTACTTGTCCATGGTCATGAGAGTCGAATCCCACAATTTAACAGTCCTGTGGTATATGGCAATACAACTGGGTCTATACAAATGTATAGACCCAGAGACCCAAGTGAAGCCACAGCCCCTGGGATGGGCATGAACTGTCATTTCCTCTAATCCAGTGGTTCTCAACCTGTGGGTCATGACCCACAGGAAATGTATTAAAGGGCTGCAGCATTAGGAAGGTTGAGAACCACTGCATCTAATCTAACCTCTTCTTTCACAGATGGGGAAAGGAAATTTCCAAGAGTTGAGACTAGAATGCAGCCTTCCTTAACCCACACTCCACACTCAGCTAAACGTGGGTGATTTGGCTAGAAGTCATTGGTGTGACCAGTAGAAGGGTCAAGCTCCTCGAATGCGTATGCCTGCCCACAGTGAGAGTGGTCAGGGAAATTCCTGGGCTACCTAGGAGTTACTATGAGCTCTGTATTTAGATAAAAATATCAAATGTGAAGCCCTATCCATGATCCCATCTCAGATCTGCAAAGCTACCCTTCAAAATCCAGCCTGGTTAAGAGCACGCCTCCCATACAGGTTCATAGAGGGCAGGTGCCATAAGGTCACTGGAAAGTGACCCCACTCCTTGTGCAAACATAGCCACCTCAGAATGTGCAAGCAATTCTAATGGAAAACAACCCAGAATCCCTCACATTTAGTCGCCAAGGTTTACAATTACCAAGGTTTAAAATCCTCAGTAATGCACAAATAAAATAAAATTTCTGACACCGTGTTCAGTAGTAGGTTCACCATCTAAATGCTTCTAAAACATTCCATTGGTAACTGCTGTCGATCTCCCCAGCACACTTTCTAATAGTTGAAAGAGCTCATATTTCTACCTAGTCTTTAAAGGAAGTCTTTAAATGGGACGGAGTTAACACATTATATGGTATATTGCTAAGTAAAATTGCGAGTGGATTTTGAAGTGCAAGCTAAATTCTCACAAGGCAGAATTCCACTTCTTCCACATCCTAATCCTCTGTTATGGTCCTTTCCCCAGTTTTTAAAAAAGAAAGGGTCTATAGACAAACAAGACTCCTAAGAGGTATCAGATATGTACGTTTAAGGGTTTCTGCCTCTTTTTAAACTGAGGGAAAGTAGACTGCTTGCTCCTCCCGGACATCCTCACAGGAGTAAATTTGGCAGAGCAGCTTCTCTGACATAGGAATGAAGTTATCTCGACCAGCAGCATTAATCTGCATATTTCTCCTCCTGCCCTCTCACTTTCCATTTCCTCCTTTTCCTGGACAAAATGTGACACTTCTTAGGGTCTCAATTTCTCGACCCAGAAAACAAAGAAACACTTCACTCAACCTAGTGAGCATCCCTCGAAATGATGGAAAATCCCCAGGGCTTCCACCTCTCCTGCACCACAGTGGGACGTGGGCTGCTGGGACACTCCCTCACCAGTCAAGGCCATCCCTTTCCACCCACTTCCCTGTGGAATTGTGAAGGATCTTGCATTGCCAGGAACAACCTGGATTGCCAGCTACAAGCTGCAGAGCACAGCCACTCCCACCTGTGGCTAGAGCAGCAACATGGCCCAAGAAGTCCCCCAGGTGGGAAGGAAAGGGTGCTCTCTGCACGAAAAGTTCCCAGCCCCGGACACAATCTTAGGACTAAAGAAATGCAACTTACCTGCCTCCTCTCATCAGGAGCCTTCAGAAAAAGGGCATTAATTACTGCAATGGTATAGGTTTGGATTTCTTGATCCAGCCTGTAAAGATACAGGACAATAAAGAAAGTCAGAAGAGGCTACCCCTGAGTTGGACCATAATGAGGTTCAAAATTACACTCCCCCTCAGCCAAAAAAAAAAAAAGCCAGAGAGAAAGGCAGGGCCTAGAGAACGCATTTCACTCATCACAAGGCTGGAAACACAGTAGGTGTGCAATTACCGTTACTAACTGGACAGTATATTGCACAGTGAAGATCACCCAGAATTATAGGCAGCCTTCTGCTCTACTAGGATTAGAAACGAACCCAGGAGCGGTGGGAATCGTAGCAGCAGTAGCAGGAGTTATGTGTGTGGATGGGTCAGTGTAATTTTCTGTGTGATGCGTAAAATGTATTGGCAAATAGTTCTAGAAGTCACCACATCCCTGGGCTAATTTAAAGGAAATTACTTTGTCTCCCTGGCTATGATATTACATATTCTAAAAATCTATTTCCAAATAGAAACTTTTTAATAACCAAAAGAATAGGTATTTATGTTTATAAATTTGCTTTTCACTGGAAAGAAATTAGAAATTCTAAATGAAGCACAGCTCTAACATGGTAAATAGTAAAAGGACGGATCCAAAACATAAACAAAGAGTGGACTGCAAACTGTATTCAGGGATAATTTATCAGGCCGGTTAGGGAGCGATGTTGCTTAGAACACCTTTGACAGGATGGGATTCAAAACCCAGTTCACCACAGGCTGGCTGTATGGCTTTGGATAAGTTCACGGGGATCCCCCAAACACAGTTTCCTCATCTGCAATGGGCAAGAACACAACTATTTTATGGGATTGCTGCTTTGAAGGTAAAATAGATTATGCACATGAAATCTTTCACACAGGGCTTGATGAATAATGAACTCTCCACCTTGGTGAAGTGCTTTGTAAATGAACATGTGTGCCTTTAAGATTTGGAGAAAAGATATAAAATGTAAAGTTAATTCATTTCACATTCAGGAAAATGTAGAACAAGTCTTATTTCTACAGAGGTTACACATCAAAATCGTCACCTTGAAGAATGTGATAACTTTTACTGAGGCCACAATCCACAGCTTCTGGGAGTAAAGTTTTAAATGCGGACCATGTTCCTGCCTCCAAACAAATATTACAAACACAACACTGAACATTTCAGAGAACTGTTAAACAGACACACATACTCCCACCCTGCACCACCAATCCAAAGGAGTCCATCAGGTTCCTCCTTGAGAATTTGCAAATGTGACCGAGAGAGCCAGTGAGTGAACTGTTGGGAGTCGGGTCCCTCTAAGCACCAGCCAATAGGCTGGAGGAAAGACCTGTCCCTGAGGACTCCAGGGAAGCCACAGTTTCTCTCCTTCTCAAGGCTTAGCCATTTCAGTTGTTTCTGGATTCTACATGGCACGCCAGTATCCTTCCAATAACTCCTTTTCTTGTGTAAGCCAGCCCACAATTGTTTGTTGCCACCCTCAACCCAAACTGCTTTAGTTTCTAAAGTAGCACCAAACAGAAGACTCTGTCTCAGCTTGGTATCATCCGAGACAACCTTACTAGTTACTGACAGGAGGAAAGATGGGAAACAGCTCCAAGTACAGGCTGCAGGGGCAGCTGTCTCACTTCCACCTTATAGTTCAAGCCACTAGGAAAAATATCCATCTATGTATATATTATCAAATATAAAAGAGGAAGGTCATTACGATCACCTTGAGCCTAACTAAGGAAGAATTTTTAAATGCTGGTCAGCCTCCTGCCTCCAAACAAATAATGATATAAATAAATTTTTTAAAATTTCTTACTACAGGCTAGGCGCAGTGGCTCACGCCTGTAATCCTAGCATCCTGGGAGGCTGAGGTGGGTAGACTGCCTCCGCTCACAAGCTGGAGACCAGCCTGAGTGCGAGCAAGACCTCATCTCTAAAAATAGCCAGGAGTTGTGGCAGACACCTGTAGTCCCAGCTACTTGGGAGGCTGAGGCAAGAGAATCAATCACTTAAGCCCAAGAGTTTGAGGTTGACATGAGCTGTGACACCACAGCACTCTTCCGAGGGTGACAAAATGAGACTCTGTCTCCAAAAAAAAAAAAAAAAAGAAATAAAAGAATTCTTACTACAAAATGTCTAACATAAAATTTCTAATTAACTAGGAAGATATTCATTATATTGCAAGAAACATTATCTTACATGATTAAGGAAAGAGTCTGTTGAGAACTTAAGAGAACAAATTGCCCTATTTCATCTTATTAAAAGTAAAACTCTGCCAGTATATATAAACTCTGCCATCAAAACTGAAAACCTGCTAAGGGCCCCCGCTGGAGACAAACATGGACCTCATCTCCCCAAGGGGTAGGGGCCAGAGGGAAGTCACCACGCCGTCCCAGGGCAACATATGACTTGGTTACATGCCAAAGAGAGATTCTTTTACTGCACATTTAATTGAACCAACACGGAGTGTTTCCTAGGGCATCATTGTGGCTGTATTCCCGACACATGTCCCCTCCCCAGAGCCACTGGAGCACGCTTACCCTTGAAGATGTGGAATGAGCTGGCCGATGGTGATCTCTTGCGCCACCTTCTGGTAGAGGTCATGACTGTTGAGTACCATTGACTCCAAAATAGCCAAGGACCGCTGCAGGATTGAGAGGTCTATGGCTGATTTGTTCACGAAACTGGCTATCTGAAAATGCAAGCGGGAGACAATTGACCGTTCATGCCAAGTAGAGCAAAGAAGTGGAAAAGGGAGCAAATAAAATAAATCGGAACCTCATTTAAGAAACAGCAGACATTGAGGTTACCTGGAATCACTGGAAAATAGCAAGAACTGCATCAAGTCAGTGACTGTTCTTGACATCATTACAGAGCATGATCTACGTTATTTCTATATTTCAATGATTTGGTTTTTTTTTATTCTATAAGAATTCTAAAGAATTATTCCTTCTGGTTTTCCAGGAATATTTTTCTGAGTTTCAGCTTCCAAGGCAGACAATTTTGACATATGTGTTATACCGACTGAGAAAGTAATTTCAACATATACGAATAGCCCTCCTCTTCCATTCCAGGTTGCTCCTTTATCCACATAATCTGTGACTTTTATGTCCTTATTTTGTTGCTTTTGTGTTCTTAAGGGACTCACACAAATCACACTCATGGACACAATTCAACTGGCAACTTCTCAGTCACTGGCCACTCTCACTGCTATTCCTAAACAAAAAAACTCTTAACTGCTTTCTTCTGATTTCTTACAGTTAAAATAAATTCTTTTCATCTCTCCCAAATGTAGCAAAGAGGGAATTGTTTAAGTTAGTAGTGCTAAAAGTCAAAATACGACGTTAAGCTCTAAAATACATTCCCGAAGGAATTAATCACTAAAGCCCCAAACATAATAAATCACATTGTAAGAGGGAAATAAAATAAGGGTGAGAAAAATGGATCACAGCAATCCAAACACATGGGCACCATAAAGGTTTTATTTTACGGGCTTCATTAAAAGTTATTACTGTCTGTTGACAACGTACAATAAAAGGCCATTATTATATCAACATAATGACTGCTTTCTTAGAAGCTAAATTAACTTGGTTCCATCACAAGGGAATACTTGCTGCTTCTTTCTGTCAACAGAGATTTCTCCCTTTCTGTTGTGCCATCGACCCCTCTCCTTATCCCCTCTCCACCCTTGCGCATGATAAAATGTAAATGCACCCATGGCAACACCCAGTTGCCATCCCAATGCCCTCGAATTCACTGACCCTGGTGAAAACAGAGGTGGGAGGTGCAAACACCAACACCTTCCCAACCTTAGATACATCTGGACCTCAGGCAGTGGGAAATAAATTATGTGAAGAAATACAGTGACATCATGATTTTACATTCTAAAAAGGCATTGTTTTATAACATGAACAGTAGGGGCTCAGCGCCCAGAGCTCAGTGGTTAGGGTACTGCCACATACACCACGGCTGGTGGGTTCGAATCTGGCCCAGGCCTGCTAAACAACAATGACAACAACAACAAAACAGCTGGGCATTGTGGCAGGCACCTGTAGTCCCAGCTACTTGGGAGGCTGAGGAAAGAGAACTGCTTATGCCCAAGAGTTGAAGGTTGCGGTGAGCTGTGACGCCTTAGCACTCTACTGAGGGCGATATAGTGAGACTCTGTCTCAAAACAAATATATATGAACAGTAGGAAACATATGGGAATTTTAAGATTCTCAAAAAACTGCTTTCACTACTCTCAGAGCTAATAAACCGACCATGTTTACCGTCTCTGGCAAGTCCTTGCCTTAGTCCTCACGGTCTGCTCAGTCCACCAAATCCACCACGCAAGGCCACTTTCCTTTCTTTAGAGCCATCTTTCCCTGACAAAAGTCCAATTACACTGTGTTCCTCGTTTAATCAGAACTCAGGCCACTCTCTAAGCAGAGTATAAACTCCTTGACTTCTCCACCATCACCTACCCCCGCCACCACTTCATGATCTCAGCATAATTCTTGGCACTGGTATTAGGAAACTGAAGAACTCATAAAGAATTTCACTGACAATCCTTGGGTTTTTCTCTCCACTGACTTCCTCCTCGCTCCTGGCTCCCCTTTTTGTCTCCATTTCCTTAATCTGGATGTGCCTTAGGTCTCCAGAGAGACTTCCCTGCTGCTGATACTGTCAATCTCCCTCCACCCTCCATCCTCTCTTTTCATTCAGTCAGTATTTATTCATTAATTCCTTCATTTAAGTTCTAAAACAGGCCGGCACTGTCTTCCAGGTCTGGAGCTACAAAGATGAGCACCATTCACATAGTTTGTAACTTTAAGAACCTGATAGTCTAGCAGATAGAGATAAAAGACCACATACTATGAAGTATATTAAATGCTTACTCCTGGCACCTAAAAGGATACCTCCATTTGGATATTCCAACAACGGCTAAATTTCAGTGGGGTAAAAAAAATCAATCTCATTGTCTTTCCACTCCTTCCCTCCTAATTATTACCCTTTTCCAAGTAGCTGCGATCGTTAGTTATTAATACGTAGTATGCCCAGCTCCCTGTCTTCTATCCGTGAATACACCTGAGATGTCTCCTTTCTGATATTCTACATATACACTCAACATTAGCCCACTGGTCCATCTTCTTCCATCCCTTCTATGTTCAAGTTTTCCATCAAGTGGAAATTTACCCACTACTTCCATAAATATCCTTTCGGCAATATTTCCATTCTCAGAATATTTAATCAGAGCTTTCCATGTTTTCTGATACAAAGTACACCTTCTTATAATGGTTTGAAAGTTATCTACAAATCATCGACTCTCCAGGTTTGCTCAGTGGTGGCAAAATAACGGTCTTTGCTGTCATTCAGGCATATTTGTATTCACGTACATGGATTTCCATTTCCATTTGCCATTTCAATATATTTCTTCCCCATGAAATAAATCCCTTATTTTCATGAAGGCATCCTCCAAAATTAATTTACCTCTTCCTTGACACACAGAATCCAATTATCTCAGCAATCCTAAAGCATGTTACATAATGAGCATTCTATGTAACACACCCAGCCAAGTACCTGCCGGACACAGAGTACATCCTCAGTTTGTTAGTGTCCTGTGCATAATTCTGGAGCAGCTACTAGTCATTTCTTTTTCAAATCATTTTTTTGGGGGCCTAATTTGTCAGTGATTTTAACCAGACACTTAAATGATCTCATACTTTCACATAATGAGTATGAATAACCAAGGCACAGGGGCTAATCCAAACAAATGTATTATTACTGTCTTCCTCAAAAGAACTCGAGACAAACTCCTTATCAGTGAATGTACCAATTACTGAATGTACAAATGTCATTCTCTATGTCCAGTTTGAAAACTATAGATCTTAGTATAGCTACAGAAGCTGGGGAGATTGCTTGGTTAAATTTAAATTTTCTCTGTCCCTCAAAAAATTAATAACGATTTTCTTTGTCTTCAATTTCCCCCCGGTTCCATGACTGCATTTTTGGTTGACACAGGTGAGCCAGCCTACGTCAGCCTATGTCACAAGGAATAAGAATTAAGAGGAGTTAGCAATAATTATATACTTACATAGATATGCATATATACATAACCACACATATACACATATATATTATCTCCTTTCATTCATTGAAAAATGTTACCTAGATAAAACAAAGGACTATGTAAGTAACTATTAAGGGCAGGAGTGAACCAATGATCCAATGAAGATTTCTTAGAATCACTTAGAGTAAAATCTTAAAATTTTCCCATGCGATCAAAACCTATGGAACCACGGGAAGTATGGTGCTCCACTCCCATATTTTAAATTATTCAAGTAGAGGCCCGTAAATCTCTCAAGTTTTTAAGGGGAAAAAATTTTCAGGTCTCTAAACCAAAGTGGCAGGATGTTTGTCCAGGCACTAAAAACATTTTCAGGGTGAGCCAGGTTCTCCTGCACAGCTAAGATTTCAAGAGCATTTATGAGAAAGTTTCCTTCCAAGAGAAGGCACTGATGTTATACTTGGCTGGGGGAAAACCGACTCACAACACAGAAAGTTCTATTTTTTCCCCTTTTTTTCTTCCCCATGTTTTCCTACCCTCTCCTTGAGTAGCCAAGTCTTTAAAAAGCAATGACATTATATATTGGCATCGAGGGATTCCAAGTTTCAGAGTGTTTATGAAACGATGTTATTTGTTGCAGCCAAAATGTGTAAACTAGAATCTAGATCCTCACAAAACACAACAGATAAAGTAATAGAGGAGATAGAGGCTGGCAGGGAAAAAATATTTCTCCCAAGTGGTATGAATTTGGCATTAATAGGAAGCCAACTCTAGACCACAGAGATAGGCAGCTTTTGTGAGCCCATTTCCTAGTTGAGTTTGGTGGAGATAAAGCCTCATTTAAAAGACAGTTGCCTGTATACAATTCCTGGGTTGTCAAAGTGCTGAATCCGGTCCAGCTAATGAATAAAAAAGGTTAACCTTACAAAAAAATTAAGTAATTTCTTGATGTCTATTTTTCAAATTCATATAAGGGATCTCTAGACAGCAATGCATGAAAATAGAATGACTAAGAATGAGGACATGGAATGAACTGTGTTGCTTTTTAAAAATATTTCATAAGCACTTTAAAAAGTGCTTATCTTTGTTATGTTAGACTTAATGTAATTCTTGATTTAATTTCAGTGAAGGAAAACTCTTAAGTAGTTAGAAAATTAAATTACTGTCATCCTCTCTGACTACTACTGACACCATTTAAAGAAACACAGCTTGGCAATTCCCTTCCATTCATAAGCAAAATTAGACTTAAAATACACTTAAACACAGTACCACTGTATGCCTTCTCTTCTTCAAGTTATGTTTTTGCTATTAGTGGTTCTTAGGCGAATTTCATTTCACAGAAATGTATTAAGCCCTTACTCTGTGCCAGGCTCTGATGATAGATACAGTCAGGAAGAAGCCGTGTTTCTGCCTTCCTGGGTTAACCATCTATTGGGAGAGATGGTCTGTGATACACAAAATTCACAGCAATGTGATAAATGCTGACAGAGAGACGTATAGGAGCTCTCAGGGGACTAGAGAACAGAAGAAATCACTTAACTCTACTGGTAAGGTCGGGGAGGGATGAGGAAGGGACAGTGCTGGCTAAACCAGGCTCCGGGAACCACTTTTTACACTCAGAAATCACAGGTGCATGATAATTGGGAAAGAGCCCTGAACCATGCAACCAAGGACACCCCACTCACTCCATGACCTCACTCAACCCCGCGAGCCACTGCACCCCCCGCCTCCTGACCAGAAATAACAAGACTGTCTGTTCTGTTCTGGAAAGGATTGCTGTTGGGAATCAAAAGAGCTAATGTCAGTGAAAGGACAACATAACTTCAAGGAATTCACATTCAGCACAACATCATTGCCACATTCTACAGCAAAAGAGGCTCTAATAACAGACCAGCAGGGCAATTTGGATGTGGAAAAGAAGGCCTGCTAGAAATTCACAAAGAGTAAAAATTTTGCCTAGTGTAAAAAAATCCATAAACCCCAGTATCTTCAGGTTCGGACTTGCTTCTCTAGAACTTATCTTAGGGAGACAGAACATAGCAATTCATTGTCTGCGCTCCGAATCTATCATGTACACTCCTGGCCACCACCTAAGGAAGGCATTTTACAATCATAGCAATTTTGTCGGCTTTTACATCTATAATAGATTCTTTTCTGTTTAGCAATTTATGCCACTAGGCAAAAAGCCGCTTACTCCTTTTTGGTGTGTCTTCTATGATTCCTTTGGCTATAAGCAAAACGTGTCCAGTGGTATGTCAAGAAAGCCCTTATCTTAAATAAACACGCAATATACAGCAGGCATGCAACCTGTCAGGCCTCCAATCCCAGCCCCTCACTGGACGGCCTTGGGCTACCTGATGCCCTTCAATTCAAGGCAGCATTTCCCCCAAGATACTGATTAATTCAAGAAGAAAAGCAGTAACTTCACAGGGAGGGCACCGAACAGATACCACCTCAGCCAAGTCCCCAGGGGTAACATCACCACCAAGAAGAGAAACCGACAGCAAGGACCGGGGCAGGGGTGCCCGGGAAGGACGCACCACTGCTTCCCCAGCACTTCCCCCCAAACCGCAGACCCATCCTTCATTTAACCACGAGGCAAATATAAGACAAATCCAAACTCGGGACATTCTACAAAATAACTGGCCAGTGTCAAAGTCATGAATGACAAGGAAAAAACTGAGGGACTGTCACACATTGGAAGAGGCTAAAGAGATGTGACAACCAAATTCAATGTGGACCCTAGATCTGATCCTTAATCAGAGAAAAACATTAGCAGAAAAACAGTGAAATCAAATGAAGGGATTGCACCCCTGCTAATTTATTTAATTTCAACAGCTGTACTATCATTATGCAAAATGTTAACATTGGGGAAGCTGGATAAAAGGTATACGGAAGATTCTGTGTCACTTTTTTGCAACTTCGCTGCTATTCCAAAATAAAAGGATTTAAACTCCAAGTGAACCTTGCTGGACTTTGCTTTGATTTTCCAGCTTGCACAGATTCACTGAAATACTTTATTTTAGATAACCCTTCCCAGTCATCTATACTCATAAAATAAACTTGTGAATTCCAAACATCTCTATATTCCTAACACAGTGGTGAGGGGGTGGAAATGCCAAAACATTTATAAATCATTTCATTTCAGAAATTCAAAGGGAGGAAAAAAATAAGTACGTAACTAGAAATCATTTATGATTCAATACTACATTTAAGATTCTGAAGATCAGGACTATTTCTCTTTGGTCAGAAAAATGGAAACAGAAGTTGGTAGACCTATATTTATTTTGCAGGGCATGATAGGGGCTCTTCTGCCCTCTCCCCACACCAGATCCACCGTTGTTAGGTTCTTCCCAAAGGAGGAGTCAGCGGAACTGGCTGAGGTCTGAGATGTTCGTCACACCATGAGTGCACAGGCTCCCTCTGCCCAGGATGCCCGGCCCCGGTGTGCCTCCTCATGTATCCCCGCTTCAAACCTCTCTATACGTTGCCTCTTTCCCTTTCCAGAAACACCACGTTGAGGATGAAAGGTTCAAGAAGAACATTAAAGACTCTGCTCAACTCTAGAGACCATCAGAGTCATGCACAGGGAATCAGACACTTGTGCAGTTATTAGCAATGTGACACACTGATTTCCCAGAGCTATGGGTCCTCACATGCAGTCCCTTATCATTCCCATGAGGACAAAATATCATTTGCATAGAGAATTTGGGTATCCTGACCCCTCATTTGTAATACTATCAAAAAAGGAAACAATAATAAAATATCCTCAAAGCAGAGAACACAGCTGATGAAAGAAGGACATCCATTAAGCCCAGGAAGCACAATCTGCATTACCTTCTTAATGAACGCCACAGAAAACGTGTCCCAGGACACTATGCCATGGTCCATCAGCTCGACGAAGGCTGTCAGGGTGAAGGACAGCATGTCTCCAAAGCTGCAAAACAGAAGTGGGTACAAGAGGCATGAGCCCCAAAGCTGACCATGAGGCAAGACACAGACGCAAGAAAGTTTTGCGAAAGTGAACACGAGCAGAATTTGAAAAGATGCTTGGGCCAAGCACAGTGGCTCACACCTGTAATCCTCGCACTCTGGGAGGCCGAGGCAGGTGGATCACCTGAGCTCAGGAGTTCGAGACCAGCCAGAGCAAAAGCGAGACCCTGTCTCCACTAAACATAGAAAAACTAGCCAAGCATTGTGATGAGTGCCCGTAGTCCCAGCTACTTCGGAGGGCTGACTCCTCCTTAGCCTGAGCGACAGGAAGGGGCAGGCAGCATCGCTGAGATCAGGCAGGACTTCCACATGGAGCAGACCTGGATTCACACTGACTCAGTCTGGCCAGCTGGGTCACTGGGGGCAATTCACTTACCCTCCCTGAGCCCTTGTTTTCTCAGCTGAAAAAGTGGGTAGTGATACCTATTTAACCACACGGCTGCTGGTGGAACCAGAGGACCTTATGATGTGTGTTACATATGAGAGCACTTAGTAAATGATACCTTAAAAAGCAAAGCCTCTCAGGGAATCAAAGTTAGGGCAGCCCAGGGAAGACAATGGGCTTCTTTTATTATCCACGGGTAAATGGGAAAAGTAAAAATAATTCTATTAAGAGAATTAGCACTTTGGAAAGGATTCAAGGGTCTACAGACACCACTATGTATATACCCAGACGCAAACACACCACATATGAGTGAACACACACACTTGTGTTACACTGGTCAGCACGTGATCTTTAGTTAATGGCTTTTATGGAATATCTATGGAGATCGTGACTCCATATAAAGGGCTAACATTATTTCAACCACATTATATTATGACCATAATGTTTAGAAATCCTGATAGAGATTTGGGGGCCTCCAATGAAAGAACTGCCCATCAGAAATAGTTCCACCTAGGACTTTATCACACAGAATCTAGTGCTTTCGAGACAACACTTTTTTTTTTTTTTGGCCAGGGCTGGGTTTGAACCTGCCACCTTCGGCATATGGAGCCAGCGCCCTACCCTTTTTGAGCCACAGGTGCTGCCCTCAAGACAACATTTTAACAGACACTTAGACCCTCAGAATCGTTCACTGACACTCACCTTTATGATAAATTATCATCATCATAAACATTAACTTAAAACCTTCAAGGATAAATCTTCTCTCTCAATTGTATTACCTTATGGCTGTCAGGATTTCTACACTGTGTTATATGATGACGGCACTGATTCCTATGCCCAATTTCTTAAAAATAAATTTGATTATTGTGATTTTTAATCTGGAGCTTTCATACCATCACTGCTACCCTATGAAGTCTCCAGCATATTTAGATTGTATCTTCTCATCTATTTTTAATTAGTAGAATAGAAAACAGATCCTCAAGTCCCCTTCTTCCTACTGTCGTATTCAGCCCAAAAACGACCTTTGAAAATCTGCATCATCTCAGGAATTGGGATGCTGAAAGGAATCTATGAAAGGAGAAGCAGCCTCGGGGAAGGACAATGACCAAAAGCTTCAGGGACCAGAGGGGATGGGACAAACGAGACAGGAATGGCTAAGTGGGTAGCTTCTGGAGCCAGAGAGCAGAGGTTTCCCTTCCAGCTCTAAGAGGACAAATCACCCACCGTTTCATGCTCCAGTCTGATCATTTATTAAAAATGGAGATGACCACAATGATGGCGGTGTTGGTGATACCTGACTCAGATTGTTGGAGAAAACACACTAACACACTTAAAACCTTCTGAGCACTGTGCAGTGAATAGCAAGGAGCCAGTTAATGTTAGCTGTTATCACCATGCAAAAGGATATTTTAAAATGATGGATGAAGCCCATGATTTTCAAATATTTCACCTTCATTCTGACAAGCATTCTCTGTTCTTAGAACCAGAAAGAAAAAAAAATGCAAGGAAAGCCGAATCTCTCAGGCCAAATGGAAAAGCAGCTAACACCACTTGTCTTTTCAGAGCTGCATGCGGGCAATCCCAATCTCACAGGTGCCCCTAGGTGGCATCAAAGGATCATGCGTCAAAAAGAAATGCCAGACCAGAAACCACAAACGCATTTGAAGGAAAAAGAAAAAATAAACTATGAGACAGGTTACAAATGGGTTAAAAAGAGCAGTGAGAAAGGTTAAATGAAAATTGGAGAATGAGTCTTTCTACAGAGTCTAATCGAGTCAAGAAAATCCAAGTATCTGATTGAAAAAGAAAAGAAAGAAAGAGAAGGAAGGAAGGAAGGAAGGGAGGGAGGGAGGGAAGGAGGGAGGGAAGAAAGGAAAGAAAGAAAGATTGCCTCAGGAAATAGGAACCAGATAATAAAAGCAACTAGTAAGATTTATTAATAGACTAAATCCATTTATTAATAGACTAAGGATTTATTAATAGAATAAGCACAAATATTACTGTGAAAACATTATTACATAACAATATATACCATTAGTAGTAAGCAATATTAGCTCTTTTTTTTTTTTTCCTTAAAAAGAAGAAAAACAGCCAAATGATAACTAATAGTTGACATCTGCTTATACCCAGCAGGCTGAAGGACATTACACGCTAACAGATTTTCACAGGCACTCCATGGGAGAGGAGCACCTACAGCCTCTAACAGTGAAAACCCAGCCTCGGTGACGTCAGCCAGGACAACCCATGGAGCAGGCAGCGGCAGAGGAGCGCACGCTATTGCAACCAAATTCTCCAAGTTCCCAGTTAGCCATGTGACACAGGGAATGCACAGGACACTCATCTTCTTCAGTTGCTTTAAAATCAAAAGATACATTACATTTATGCTCTCTAATATATCAAGCAAAAGGACTCTGCTCCCGAGCTACCTGCTCAGTGCAACCCTAATCCAAATGGCTTGAGCAACATCTGGGGACAGTCAATCTCCTCTGAAATATTCCAGGACTCTGTCTACAGACGCCTCTGGCCTTGGGGAAAATGGGGAGAGGAGGAGGCAGAGTATCATTTGGTTTTGAAATCTCCAGGTTGGTTTGGGGCCAGGATTTCAATCTCTTATGGCTGTCCAAGAGATGGAGTACTCTTTCCGAGACTGCAGGTGGAGCTCTGCAATTATTCATTAGGGCAAATGAGAGAAAGGCTTCTTCACATTTAGACACCAACCAAGGAGCTCAGAGGAAGGACAGTGCTCTTGGTCTATCTATCATAATAACATACTAGAGAGGTAGAAAGAAAGAATTATGTAATATAACCTATATGCATTATTTTTTAATATCATATAATCATTGAAAGGGGCAGCCTTGCAAAAATTACAAAAATAATGGGAAAATACCAAATCCTATAATTTGCTAGTATCAGTAAAATACGAATCTTACAAATTCTTTTGCTGGGCACCCCATGCATTTGTTTTCATAAACCAGTTGATGATCCCAACAGGCCAAGAGGAAATGTAAATTCTTTCTCTTTATATTTCACCAGCTCCTTTGCCTTTTAGAATTTGTTCCAGCCTTATGTGATTCCTGCGTGTCCCCAACAAACACGAGAATATGAACAATCACGCCTCAGGGTTGGGAACACCTGAAAAAATGTCTGTCTTCAATACTGCCAGAGAAAAAACGGACACAGCATTCGCATTCACAATACCTGGTTAACTTGATGACAGTTACTTTTTGTCCCCTTAGTGGGGTAGGGGCAGGGGGGCGACTGCCCACTAGATCTCAGGATGGGCACTGTTCCTTTTCTTCCTTCGGGATGCCCAGGCCGTCTCCCTGCTCTCTGCTTCCGTCTCTCTTTCCCTCCCTCACTCCACCTTCCCTTCTCTCACTTCCTCTCTCTCCTCCTAAAATACAAAATAAAGTCTATACTTTTATATCCTAATCTTGGCCTAGAGAATCTTTTTTCTTGTCATGCACTCAGCACAACTGAGCTTTTTCCCCAACCTATCAATACTATTTTATATATAATGCACATACATATATCAAAAATACACATATATAAATATACTCTGTGTGTGTATATATATTCTGTATATAACATACGTAATTCATTATGACTAGTCGCTGAGTGACATAGGAGTTTTCCATGAGGAAGAACGTTTTCAAGATTGAACTTCAAATCCTCAGTGACAAGGAATGATGGTCAGGCTAAAATTTTATTATGTTCCAAATCAAGAGAGTGAATCACCTCTTTCAAATGAAGTAGTTATAACAGAGCTTACTGAACCCTGACATAGATTCTGTTTCCCCTCTGAGAGGAGTGATTCAGGCTCCAGAGAGGGAGAGCAGAAGGAAGCAGGTTCCACCTCTGGGTATGGAAGATCAAGGCTATTACAGATAAGAAGCAAACACATGGTACATTCAGGAACATTTTTATTTGTTTGGGTTATTTCTTTTTGTAAAGTGTTAGGCTAAAGATTTTGCAGTTCTGGCTGCTACAAATTAAGTCAACCGCAAACTACATACTGGTAGAAAGCCACTGTCACAGCCAACACACCATGTGTGCTGGAAGGATTCAAATAAATGTTTCTCATCAACAGTAGAGATCATCTTCATTCCAACAAAATCTAGCCAATCTCGAAACAAGCCTGTAAATTTATGCTGCTAATTTTATAAAAGAATAGTCCTTCCAAATGTTCCCAGGGAGCGGTAAGGCTGGCAAAGAATTAGAGAAAAGATGAACATAAAGGCCACGTTTAAAGTTATCAAATTGTACAGAATAGATCCCTTATTGCCAAAGCTAATGGCTATAGTTCTTCTCTGCCATTTGAGTTTTTACACATATTTTCTTCTAGGGAGGGGCAAAATTTTCATACATTGAAGGGTATGAATTTCTAGATCACTCAAGAGACATTCCCTTTAGCCTTCAGAATCAGCAAAAATTCTTCTGGCTCTTTTGTTGGAAATTTAAGTGCTGGGCTCCATTCTATTGCATTGATCCAATGTCCATTTCCTTATCAGTAGATTTCCTGATCAGCCAGTATCAGACTGTCCTAACAGCTGACTTTA